TGTTTAAAGCCTTTGAATAAACTGTTCCTTTCTACTGAAATTTCCTATTTTCCTCACACACCATCAACATCGCCCAGAAAAACCCTATTGATTCTGTTGTTTTAGGTACCTGACAAACTATGTTCTCTTTTAGAAAGCTTTTTCTAGCTAGGCAACTGTTCCTGAAGTGCCTGTCTTCTGTCCCTGAAGTCTCCTATTGTTTTACTGTCTGCACCTTACATGCGGCACTTCTTACACATGTGGGCCCATGTCAGAGCTATTTATGCACTGCCTTATCATCCTCTTTGGGTCTGAAGTTCCTGGAATGTGGAACACATTCCTGGGGACCTGGATTCCTGAGGACCACATTCTTACATCTTTGTCCCACACAGAGCTTTGTGTGTGTGTGTGTGTGTGTGTGTGTGTGTATGCATACACAATAAATGTTTGCTAAATTAAAGAACTTTATTACCAGGACAATTTTTCATTCATTTTACATGCTAAGCCCTGATAGTTAATTTAGTCATTTAAAATCAGTTAGTGCCAATATACATCTTCAAAATGCTGTCAGAAATCTCTTCTGCCTTTATTGGTTCTTGTTACTGGTATAACTTTCTCACTAGCAAGGACTGGAAGTTATAGCCCACATGGCTCTGAACCTCTCCTGCCTGAGCCCTACAGGCCTCCCTGGCTCCCCAGGGCAGGGCAAAGCTTGCTCTCTGGGGGCTCACGCCACACTGGGTCTTCTGCATTAGCTTACTTACTAGCCTGGGGTTATCATTTATCTGATTACAGATTTTTTTAATCTCTCCCACTAGGCTGGGGGGTCTCTAGGGCAGGCACTAAGCTTCCTTCATGTTTGTTTCCACAAGCCAACACAGTGCTTGGCATGTGGTTGCCACGTGGTAGGTGCTATGTAAGAATGGGTAAAACTCATGTTTGTGAAATTTGTGAAGAGTGAAATTCTGGGAATGAGGTTAAATTAAGAGCTATTAAACCAATAGTTAATCAAGACTGTAAAAATTTAAAATATAAAAGAGAACTTAAGAAAACATTGAACTTTAGCCTCTAAATTTCCCGATCTTTCTTATAGGTAGATGTGGTCATGTGATTAAGATCTGGCCAACTGGATATAAGTAGAAATGTTATGTGCAATTTGGGGAAGTTTTTTTTTTTTTTTTTAATAATTCTTTTTCTATTTCTTTTCTCTGCTGCCTGGAATACAGATGTAACGGCTGAGCTCCAGCAGTGATACTGGACCTTGGGAATATAAGCTATATATAAGAAAGAAAAAAATAATATAAGTCCTGAACTGATTTCCTCTATACTTCTTGAACATTAGAGAGAAATAAACCTCTATCTTGTTCAAGAAAATTTTATTTTGTCATTTGCAGCTGAACCTAATCATAACCGATATAGGATCTTGGATCCTTTACCTGTTGAAAACTCCTATCTGAACTCTCATCAACCTAGTTTTCAGAAACATAAACAGATTATGCAGTAAAAAGCACAGCCTTTATGGTCAGAACATGTGGATTCCAGTCTTCAGGTTTTAGTCATATAATATTGGGCAACTGCTCTGAGACTCATTTTCACTAAATGTAATATAGAGATGATGATATCTTCTTCTTGGAGTTGTTAGAAGGATTAAGTGATGTCAAGTGAGATAAATGAGAAGAGGCTTGGTAAATTATAAAACATTACATGATTTTTTTTGCTTCTATTTATAGCTAGAGGAAAATGAATCATGGGCTGGTTAAGTGGAGGAGTAAACAGGTCCATCCAGGATTAGGCAGTAGAAATGCAGAGACCCAGCTCTACATACCCTATCATTCATGCCTGTGACATTTAAAAGAAAGAGATTGATACAAATATTTTCTAAAGAGGAACCAGTTGTATGCTGTTCAAAGGATGTACTAATACAGTGCCTATCCCATGGAAAGTACAAAATAAATGTTACCTCTCCTATTACTACTATTCCTACAATTACAGCAACGGAGTCTATACTACTCAAGGTGGCATCTCCAGCATGTTCTTTTCCCATAGACAGACCTCTATGGGAATCCAGATTAAAATCCTACTGTTTGGAATCAGAGCAAGGGGAATTACATAATTTGAATGTTTATGCCAGAAAACTAAGAGACCTTGATGTATTCATGGCCTTGACAATGGAACCACAATTCTTATAATTCGTTGGTTGAAACAGTAGATGAGCATTATCTTAGTCTGTTTTGTGCTGCTGAGACTGAGTAATTTATAAAGAATGGAAATTTATTTCTCACAGCACTGGAGTCTGGGAAGTCCAGGATCAAGTCACCAGCAGGTTTATTGTCTGGTGAAGTTTCCTCTCCACTTCCAAGATGGCGCCTCGACACCATATCCTCACAAGATGAAAGAGCAAAAAGAGACAAGCTGCCTCTGTAACGCCCTTTTACAAGGAAATCTAATCCCTTTCATGAGGGAGCAGCCCTCATGGCCTAATCATTTCTTCAGGGTCCACATCTTAATACTATCACACTGGCAATATCTGAATTTGGGCAGGGGTACATTTAAAATATAGCAGGCACTTTCAGTAGTTACTTGGCCTTTTTTCACTGAATCCACAGGGGGACCAAATTTTTAGTCAAGCTTCTCTATGGCCTGGGAGTCTTCCAATCTCTTTAAAATGAGATAGACTTTGTAGATTGTCTTCTCTCATGATTCATGTGTGAGTTTATGATTTAATGATCAGAGGACAATCCTATGTTTCTTATCTGAAAGTTCTTAGTGATCATCTTGCTATTGGTTCACTCCTAAAATGTCTTTAATACATAGAGTTTTGTACAAGCTTTCATGTACAAATGAGTCATGGGGGTCTTGCTAAGACGAAGACACAGTAGCTCTGGGGCAAGGTTGAGATGCTTCAGTTCTAACAAGCTCCTGGTGATGCTAATGATGCAGATCTATGGACAAGATTTTGAGCTGCAACATTAAAAGTAACATGGCTAATTAAGTGTCAAAGTTGGGATTTAAACCCAGGTCTGTCAAATTGCAAAAGCTATTTGTTTTCCATGATGTTGAAATTCAGAAATAGAAAACTGAATAATAAATGAGAAATTGTGTTTAAGACCAATTATTTGGGATAACTATTATTTGCAATGTTAAAATTTAGAAGAACTATTTTCCCAGAGAATAAAGAAAGAGGTACATTAAGCTGGAGAAAAATAACATTTTTTTTGAGGAAAAGACAGTGATAATTAAATAGGATAAAGGGGCAAAGAATATATAACAGCGTGAAAAACTATAGAAGACAGATGATAAACATTTACATTCTTAAAGAGAACACAGAGAGCCACACCTTGCCACATGTCCAAAACGGTAGCCCCAAACATCATGTACCATATTCCCCAAGGGTCTTTGACCACCCCAGCACCTGCCAGATGACAACAGCATCTGACATCATGACTAGAGAATACAGTGCGATGACACAGAGAGATGAGGCCCGTCCTCCATCTCACTAGTATTCTAGAAAACAGTCAGCTCAGCCAGCAACAGAGAGCAAGCCTAGAGCCACATTGGACTTGGAAGGCTGAACATAAGCATGAACTTGTGAGGTAACCCTCAGGGAACAGCTCATCAAATAGAAAAAGGAGAATCTTGTCTGCACAGTAAGTCGTGATGTTTCTGGATCACACAAATCTGGACTTGTACAGCCAGAGATATGTCCACATTAAAGGCAATTTCAAAGCCCTACAGAAAGTGTTCTTTCTGTGGGTTCTTCATTAGACCATAAAAAACATCGTATTAGATCAGACCATGGTACATCCAGCAGTATTTTGTATTTGACATTGGCACCAACTGAGATTTTTGAAGAACATATTGTTCTCTTTGGCAGAAGTTTAGGAAACACATCACAAGCACATCTCGAGCTTCCTCTGATGTCTTGGAATCTATCATTCTTAAATGTACCTAGAGCCTTCCTTCAGTTACCAAACCAGGATCTATCAGATCCTGATTTCTTATGTTTATTACTACTGTTTAGAGCTGGATGTCCTTTTACTAGTTCTAAACCACTTTCAAAGGACTTACTTTGTATTTATTCTGTCTTAAATTGTTTTGTTCATGTATTATTTTCTCTATTAGAATCTAAGGACCTATACTATTTTATACTTATCACTGAGGTGGTTTCTCTCTCACAAGATTGTGAATTCTTGAAGGAATTCTTTTTTTTTTTTTTTTGAGACAGAGTCTCATTGTGTTGCCTGGGCTAGAGTGCCGTGGCGTCAGCCTAGCTCACAGCAACCTCAAACTCCTGGGCTCAAGCGATCCTCCTGTCTCAGCCTCCCAAGTAGCTGGGACTACAGGCATGCGCCACCATGCCCGGCTAATTTTTTTCTATATATTTTTAGTTGTCCAATTAATTTCTTTCTATTTTTAGTAGAGATGGGGTCTCGCTCTTGCTCAGGCTGGTTTCAAACTCCTGAGCTCAAGCTATCCGCCCGCCTCGGCCTCCCAGAGAGCTAGGATTACAGGCGTGAGCCACCACGCCCGGCCTTTGAAGGAATTCTTGAAGAATTATTATCCTAGATTTTGCATCACCGGTACCTAGCACCATGTGAAGCAAATAGTAGGTCAAAAAAATGTTGGATAAAAACAAGAATACGCTCTCTAGTGCAGAGATCTGACCATAGCATAATGTCATTTATTCAGAAGAATCTTAAGTTTTTGAATGGAATTTCCTTTAAACTATCTTTTCTTAATTTCTTCAGTTCTGTTATACAAAGACTTAGGAAACAATAAATTGAGGGTCTACTCATATTATACCTACACTTTCCAGTTCTTTCTTATCAAATTGATAGACATTTACTGACCATCTATAAACCACAACCATGAATCCTGCAAGGCACAGTTCTTAAGATCACATACCCATATTCTCTTTGAGAAACATCATCAATACAAGAACAGTGAACATCTAGACCTTGACTTTTGTGCATTTTGAAATAAATAAAAAACAGAATATACACATATAACATATCACATACTTGATCAAATTGGGGGTCTTCTCCACGTTGCAGAGATTTTGTCAATGGCTTTTCCTAGAAAGAAAAAGAATATATATGAGAATAATTGTTAGAGTCTCTTAAATATTATTTTTAAAAATGTCATTATTTCTATACTTTTTCTCATTCATTTCTCCCTTTATGGAATGAGGGGGAGCCAAGTTTTAAATGAGTGAGAAATTCTCCCTTAGTTATTGTGACCTTACTATGTAGTGTTTCATCATTATCACCATGATTCTTGCTGTTCATCTTAACAAATACCTCTTTGACCAGAACATTAAGAATTGATGCTTAGGGAAACTCAGATTAAAACCACAATGAAATATCACCTCATACCTGTTATAAAAACTTTTTTCAAAAAGACAAAAGATAATAAATGTTGGCCAAATGTAGAGAAAAGGGAACCCTTGTATACTGTTGTTGGGAATGTAAATAGCCATTATGGAAAACAGTGTGGAGGTTCCTCAAAAACTAAAAAATAGAACTATCATGCACTCCAGCTTCCACCACTGGGAATATATCCAAAGAAAATGAAATAAGTATGTTGAAGAGATATCTGCATGCGCATGTTCACTGCAACATTATTCATAACAGCGAAAATACCAGAATCAACCTAAGCATCCACAAATGGATGAATGGATAAAGAAAATGTGGTGTATACATACACAGTGGAATACTATTCAGCCTTAAAAAAGAAGGAAATCCTGTTATTTGTGACAACATGGATGGACCTGGAGCAGCGGTCCCCACCCTTTTTGGTACCAGGGACTGTTTTCATGGAAGACAATTTTTCCATGGACTGGGGGTGAGGGGTGTCATGGGTTGGGGAGAGGTGGTGCAGAGCTGAGGTAGTATTGTGCAGCCTGTTTCCTAACAGGTCATTGACTGGTACCAGGCCACGGCCTGGGGCTTGGGGACCGCAGATCTGGAGGACATTATGCTAAGTGATATAAGCCAGGCACAGAAAGGCAAATACTACCTAATCTCACTTTTATGTTAAATCTAAAAAAGTCAAATTCACTGAATCAGAGAGTAGAATGGTAGATTCCAGGGACTGGTCGGGGATTGGGAGAATAGAAGATGTTGTGAAAGGACACAGAATTTCAGTGAAACAAGAAGAATAAGCTCTGGAGATCTACTGTATAACATGGTGACTATAGTTAATAATATTGTACTGTGCTGTGGTCTGAATGTATCCCCCCAAATTCATGTCCTGGAACCTAACCCTCAAGGTGCTGGTGTTACAAGGTGGGGCCTTTGGGAGGTGATTATATCACAAGGGCAGAACCCTCCTGAGTGGGATGAGTGTCCTTATAAAAAAGAGCTTGTCTGCCCTTCCCACCACGTGAGGACACAGTGAGAGGGCATCATCTATGAGGAAAAGGCCCTCATTAGACACCAAATCTGCCAGCACCTTGATCTTGGACTTCCTAGTCTCCAGAACTGTGAGCACTAAATTTCTATTATTGATAAGCCACCTAGTGTATCGTAATTTGTTATAGCAGCCTGAATGGACTAATACATATTGTATACTTGAAAATTGCTAAGAAAGTAGATTTTTAAACATTCTCACCCCCAAAAAAATACGAATGTAAGGTGATGGAATTGTTAATTAGCTTGATTTACTCATACATATATCAAAACATCATGTTGTGCCTCATAAATATGTAATTTTTATTTGTCAAATTTTAAAAAAAATCTGATACTATAAGTGGTCCTGTGTTTTCAATGGAAACCACATAATAAAAAGCATAGAACTTATTTGAAAAATTTTAGTATTTACCTTGGGACTTGACAGATAATAAAAAGTTGAAAGTGATACACTATTCTAAGTCCCTAGATTTAGAAACAAAATAAATTCTATGTATTGGATTGGTATTGAGGGACAACCTACCAATCATATATTTTCTAGGTGTAATTGGTGAATTTTGGGCATGCGATTTATCTTGCTTCACATCTAACTCTCTGCAAAAATAATGTGGATAGTGACAAGACTCTATAGAGGTAAGTCTCCCTGATCATTTTATCATTGTTTACATTAGGAAGACTTAGCTTACTTTCAAGCAAGGCATTTTATAATTACTTATTCTTACTTGTATTTTGTTTTTGCTGTTGAAGTTAATTCTGATCTAATATTTGGTTCAGAATTAGAAACCACGCAAAAATTATATATCAAAAAGGAATAAATTTTACTTTGGCCAATGTAGGTGCCCTAGAAAGACTCTATTTATATTTATCTGCTCACATAGACCCTCTCATTGTGAGTCTAGTCCCTTCTCCAATCTCGTCCTACTCTCGCAAAGATGCTATGTACCTAAGGCAGATGTGAGCTCCACCCACATCCCATAGAGTCTTTGTTCTTGAAGAAATGCATGTGAAGGCTCATCCAGGATATCTGAAGTTTTGCTAAGAGCCTTTTGAATCAACTACTCTGTCTCATTTGCAAAATATACAGCTTCAAAATGTGTATTCATCTAAAATAAAGAGAAAACTGTGTTCTTATGGGTTAGTAAATATTTTTCTTTGAAGTATGCTATTTAGAACATACTAGTGGGAGACTGGATACAAAAATATTGGTAAGAACAAAGAAGAATAATGAAAGAAGCAACAGATTCAATTGATTGTATAAGAGGACAAATCCAGCAATAAAATGGGAAAGCATTTCCTGTACATGTAAAGGTTATAATGTCATACAATGTCATCTGAAGTTCTCTGTAATACCAACTAAAACACAAATATGAAAATTAAAGAAGTGAAAACAAGTGTTATCAGGTCCCACAAATTTCCTTGGAACAAACTCAGTATGAACGTTTCTAATCGATCTTTTATTGATTCATCACTCAGCAGGGACTAAGGGATCACAGTGTGTCAAATGCTATATGCTGGGTGGAATACTGAAGAACACATGATTCCTGCCATGAGGGGGAAGCATCAGAGAGGGAAAACCCAGTCAATGACTTCTTATGAGTGCTACCTCTCCTTGTGCATTATTGAAACCTCAGCTCAACTCTCACTTCCCCAGGGAAGCCCTTCTCTGAGCCGTTTCCCAACATCAGGTCTGCCCTTCCCTGTTACAAGCCTACAGAGCTCCACATGCTTTTCCTTTCACAGCACTTCCCAGAGAGTGAAGTCACATCACAGCGTAGAATCATGTTGCAGAATTACACATTCATGACAGATGCGCTGAGCGCCGCCCCCACGAGGTGGCAAGCCCCAGAAATGCAGTGACCTCTCTCTGCTTCTCTCAACATTTAAAGCCACAAGGCAGAGCATCACTTGGTGCTGGCTACAGATTTGGCAAATTAATAAAAGCTCCTGGCCAGGGGTGTCCAGTTTCTTCAAATATGAAGATCCCCTTTTTGTGCGTGTGTATCTTTTTTAAGTTTTAACAAGTTTTTATACTTTTTATTGTGGTAAAATATACACAAGTATACAAGTCAGTGGCATTAAATACATTCACAATGTTGTTCAACCATAATCACTGTCTATTTTATTAAGACCCTCTCTCTATCTTCATAATGCCAGAAATTTTCAAAAAGTCCTCAACCACAAAACACATACTCATATCCCAAACATACAAGATAGCAATTTTATTTTAGTATCTATTCTTTAAAACCATACATAATGACAGAGAGCTAATGCTATGGCTTCAGTGACACTTTTAAATGGCTCCTGTACCAGAGTAGCAACAATACTTATTTTATATATATTAGAAAAATGAGAATACACCTATATAGGAGATCATAAAACTCAGCCAAAAGATACTGCTCAGTACACCTGTGGGCCTGTAGACCCTTGCAATAGCTCAGGAGTCCACACGTTGGGAGCCCACACTGCAGTCCCCTGTTGCTATCACCTGAAAGAGGATCCTGTCACAGTGGGGGAAGGAAGGTGACTATGTCCACCCACATCCCAAAGCTTCCCATGCCCAAAGGTTATTTTTTCCCACTACAAATTGGGTGGGAAGCTGATAACGTGACATTTTACGCTTACACAATTTTGCATATATATGAAGGTAAAAACATATTGCAAGTCTCACTTTCTCTGGTAGACAAAGTTGATATAAGTTGTCACTATACACAAAAGTCAAGTCCATTAGTCAAGAACCTGGGTTGGATGCCCTCAATAAAGTTTTCCTTAACCATTTTTACATAATATACTGTCTCAATCATATTCTTTGAAGACTTAGTTCAAATGTCACTTCCAAGACAAAGCCCCTCCCCTGTCTTCCCTGGCAGAGTCACCTGTTAGTTGTCACACGGTGCTTTATTTGCATCTATTCTTGTCAGCATTTCCACCGTGTTGTAACTTGTCTGTCTCCCCTATACCCTAGTACACAGTTGGGACTTACTGTCAGGGTTTGTTAAATGGCTGACTATATCCCTATGCACTTGGGAAGATAGCTTTGGGCACAGAGAATCAAGTTTATGTTTTAACATTACCAAGATTATCTTTACATCAACATAGATTTTATCAGTATAATGAGGCTTAAGAGTAGGCCTTGGGAAGAGAATATCACACTGGCTCAAAAATACAGAGAGAAAGAAAGATGGAAGGAAGGAAAGAGGGAAGGGGGAGAAAGGGGGAAGGGAAAAGTATGAGGAAGGAAGGAATGACAGAAGGAGAGAAGGAGGGAAAGAAGGAAGGAGGGAGAGAAGGAAAGAAGGAATGAGAGAAAGAGAAAAGAAAGGAAGAATGGGGGAAGAAAGGAAGGAGGGAAGAAAGAATGAAGAGATTAAAAAAACAGATGAAAGGAGAGAGGCAAACTTGCCCAGCTCAGAAGAGGGCCATCTGAATGCAGGGCAAAGATCAGCAAGGCTCAGACCTGCTTAAGGAAAGAGAACTTCAGGGGCGTGTTCTGCTTGAGGTTCTCCCGGAGGAGACCAGTGGCGCAGAATCCAAGGTCTGTACATTCACAACATCCTGGCTCCCAAAGAGTGTTAAATAAGTAGGAAAGCAAAATTAACACAAAATAAACGATGGCTATTTAACCAACAAGTTAAAACAGACTATGGCAAAGGAGGCTCAAAATAATG